CATTTATAATACTATCAGATTGACTAGAAAATTTGTCAACTACTTCAAGTTAGGAAAACTTTTATCTGTTAAAATAAAAATAACAAGTGGTATCTAAAATATTTAATTGGTATAATCATTTTGGCACTTTTTGTAATGTCTAATTTCCTATCGCTGCAAAGAAAATATTAAATTGTATTCAAATTATTTTTATAAGCTAAAAAATTTCCTAAAACAGACCAAAAGCTTCAGAAGCAAACTGCACTTCATTATGAGAAATGGTTCTGCGTTTACAGAAAAGCATGCCTAGGACAATGCGAGGCACTGAAATATAAAGATGGGAACTTCCCATGTAGGGAGTCTGGAACTTTCAGAAGTGTCTTAGGAAGTTCAGGGCATCAAATGAAGTACAGTAGAGCTGCATCTGAAGTTGTGTGAGGGTCTAAAATCATCCCTTATAGTTAAAAGCACCTTTGAACAATTCATTAAATGGTCCGTCTAGTATATTATATACAGTTTTGTATATACCACCATAAATACTAAAGTTAGAAATTCACTGATTTAGAATAAGGGCAATTATGTTAAAGGTATACTATATATACAATGATGTGTTGAAGTGAGCACAATTCTTTTCTACAGGTGATTGACGATATCTTAGAAAACATACCCTATAGACTATATAAAACTAGTTCTATATAATTGGAACACTTAGTAATGAAAAGTTTTGGAAAAAATTATCGAAGTGAAAATAATTTAAGACCTACTTACCTATCATCTTTTGCAGTCTTGTCACACTCAATATCAAACTGCCATCTTTCAAGGACCTCACCACTTTCAATATTTGATATAACTACAACCAGTTTCTGAACTGAACACTTGTATAGCCAATCTGCAACACATAACAAGGCATCTTTTTTGGTCTACTGCATTGCAAAGCAGCTCTTTTCTTAGGTCCCACCTCCTGTCCTTAGGAAATTCATTCCTACCACTGGTATTTTGGACCCTCTCCCACATACAAGTAAACCTGCCCCTGCTTCTGTTTTCAAACTCAGTATTTGTACCAGTTATAGTACCTCAGTACTGGATGCTGAGGAGGGAGTACTGAACATGTGGTATTTCCATCCTAATCCAAGGTCAGGGTATAGGAGTATGGGCATTATGAACATCAAACCAATATATGAGAAATAATTTGACCCACTTAGGGTCAAATAGAGTTTAGCTATTGGGATCAACAACATTAAATATGCAAAAGGAGAGGGAAGAAGGTGCAGGCCTTAACACTCAAAAGGGAAGAACATATGACCAGAGGACTGAAAGCAGGCCAGTATAACTGCAATGAAGAAACAAAGAATGAATAGGGTCATTCTGGCAAGATAAATAGGAGCCAGACCATGCAAAACCAGGTGAGTAAATTCCAAACATTACACTTCTATGTACAGAGCTGAAAAATGACCATTTGAGATGCTAAAAAGGCAGATCCTAGAAGGTGTGCAAAACTCAAATTGTTTACAATGATTAAATACCTTTTAATTGTTCCACCACATTGTTTAGGTATTTTATGAGCTCGAGATCAGTAGTTATAAGCAAGGTGAGTCCGTATTTCTGCACTCGAGTAAAGGTTTCAGATGGATATATACCACGCTGATACAAAATGCTGTTGATACCAAATGCTGAAAGCAAAAGAAATGTTCCAGAAAAGTCATCATCACTTTTGAACTCTAGAAAATAAAATACATTTAGATGTGTTTATAGTTTCATTAATGGAATAAAGTTGTAAATGACTAAACACACACATTTGTGTGTTTTGCTCAAAGCAGAGTAGGTACAAACTGGCATTAAAAATCCTTAAACTCTTGCTTATAAGTAAAAGAGATAACTGCATTTACGTGGCAATAAAAGAAAAATGCGAAAGTGCATTAGCCATTGCCAAATTTCACCTCAGTGTAATTACAAGTCCAAATTCAGATGATGTGGTTAGCGGAAATCAAAGTAGGCTTTTGCATCCCAGTCGGCATTAGACTGACTAATGCAGTGCCCGAGGCAAGCCTCTCCTTCACTTTTTCCTCCTTTTCGCCTCACAAATCCTGCCAGGTTCCATTAAAACGTACAGCTAGCCTGGTGGAGAACAGGGCTTCCCAAACTCTTGTACACCACCAGCCTCGGAATCACCTGGAGCGCGGTCCTGGTAAAAATACACACAGCAGCCGACCGCAGTCGCACTACGTCCTGAGTCTCGGGAAGTAGGGGCGGGAGATTTTGCACTTTAATTGGCACTTGTGCTCCGCAAAGGGCTGCGCCGCGAGGCAGGCCTCAGCAGCACCTGGGCCCCGCTCCGTCTTCAGAGCGCGTCAGGAGGAGGCGCCACACCCGCCTCTTCCCAGACGCCCCGCGCGGCGCCGGGGGCCGGGCGGCGAGGGCTCTCGGTCTCGGAGGCCCCGCCACGGGCCTGCGGGCGCCCGGCCTCGCTCCCCCCAACCGCTCGCGCGCGGACTCACAGAAGAACTCGGCCACGATTTCGGCGCTCCCGCGCAGGGTGATGCCCTGCTCCCGAGCGAGCTGCAGCGCCATGGCCAGGCCCACGGACTAAGGCACGCGCGCGCGCAGCCGGCAGACAGCGACCACAGCGGCTCCCACGGCAGTTCCCCGCCAGGCGTTTCAAAAATAACGACGCAGCGCGCCGTCCGACCCAGAACGCAGGCGCGAGGCGCCTCTAAGCCCCGCCCCTGCGGCGGGGTCCTGCCCTTTGCTTCTTGCTCCTACGCGCCTGCAGAGCGCCGATTTGCGCAGGCGCAGTTGGGGCCTGAGGCCGCACTCTTCCGGTTTGCAGTGGTCTGGAGGGATCCTGTTGAGAGACGCCCTGTGGTCGTCATCTACCAGATGGGGCCGAGGAAAGGATGTGGACGGTCCCGATTTTAGTGGTAGTTCCTCAGGTCTGTGGACTGGGCGACCAAGGAGCACGATTTCTGAGTTTCAAAGATATTCTCAAACCGGTATGAACTGTTCTCCAGTCCCGCCTGAAGTCGCCCCAGTGATCCTTAGAGGGCTGTCGAAACTTTTCCAGATGCTTTGGGAATTCAGAAAACGACTGCGTGCGCTGCAGCCACGCCGCAGCTTTAGAGGATCTGTTTTCTGTGTGGGAACTCGGCTTTTCTTGAGAAATTGGATTAGGGAATTAAAGGGACGAGCCGCAAACGCTTTTCTGTCCCTTGTCCACGTGTGTCCTGGGTTTAGGGCCCCCTTCAGAGGCGGAGCAGAGTCGGGGCGGCTGGGGGCTCCTCCTGGTCCAGGGTGCTTCTGTCCACCCTGCCCGCCCTCAGGCAGCTGGCCAGGAATACGGTCACCTCACTAGTAAGGCCCGTCAACTTTGAAGAATTGTTCAGTGAGTTATGACTCACAAATTCAATGACTTTTCGTGTTAGGGTGACACGTATTAAGGAGATAGAGCACAATTAATGTTCATGTCCATTGTGAGAGGATTTTATTCTTAAAGCAGCTTGGAAAATTACTGTAAAATGAAGCCTGAAAAACTTTGATATTTACTGGACATACTGTTATTTAATTATATGAGAAATACCTGAGTGTGTTATTAATAGTTTTATATTGCTGTATAACAAGTTACCACAAATCAATGGCTTACAGACAACACCCATTTATTATCTCGGTCCTGTAGGTCAGAAGTCTGGGCATATCATAGGCGGATGTTCTGCTCTGAGTCACACAAGGATAAAATCAAAAGATCTGCAGGTGAGATCTCATCTGAGGTTTGTGGTCCTCTTATAAGCTCCCTGGTTGTTGAACTGAGGTCTCTTATCTTGCCAGCTGTTGGCCAGAGGCCAGTCCTGTATGTTTGCCACATAGCCCTTGCAGAGACCTTCTCACACTTCCAGTCTCTGACTTTTTTTTAAATTTTTTGATTCCCCCAAGTCTGATATGTTTACATCTTTCTTAAATGTTAATGTATTAAATTTTTTTGACCCCTCAGACAGTATGAGGACCTATTCTTAAGTAGTCTCATAGCATTCCATAGTGCTACTTCAGAGCATTTCTTTCACTGTAAATAATTATGTAATGTTTTGTATTATAGCTTTCCTGTGTCAAAAATAAAATCGTATCAAGTTAGGATAAATCTGAAAGTTTACTGTCAAGCAAAAATTACAGATTGTAATCCAGGAGACTTCAAACCAAGTGGTAGAGGGTGGTAAGAAGCTTGCCAAACAGCAGTTATGGCATAGTTTATAAAATATGAAGGAGGAAGTATTTTGATCTTTTTCATGATTGCTGTTATACAGTAAGTGTTTTTTGGTTTGGTTTGGTTTTGGTTTTTGTGGGTTTCTTTGAGGGCAAACAGACCTGTTTTAAGTTGCTTTGTCTATAGCTGATTGGCTTGATTTCAGTGAATCATACTGACAAAAATGTAAAGCCTATGTTTTGTGTTTATGATTGGAGATAGTGTTTCAGGAAATCAGGATGACTTAATTTTTGGTTATGTGGTTATGGGCAGTTGGCCTTGGGCTATGTCTAAACTCTGACCTCCGTTTTTAACATCTGTAAGATGCATGATGCATTTAGTGGGTTCTTTACAAATATTTGTTGAATGAATGAACATTTGAATATTTGCCTAGAAGAGCTTTATGGAAGAACCTAAAACATTTTCTAATTAGAGAGCTAGTTGGGTGGATGAATGAGGTTACTTTTAGGGAACTTTGAGTACCCATCTGAGTTGATTGGAAGTACCAGGGATTTCTGGGTTCTTAGGATTGACATAATTAAAGGGCCATTTTTTTTTCCAAATGTTAATTCAATAATGGTGAGAGACTGGATTGTTTACAGGACAGTAGGGTGGTGGTCCTCAAACTTGAGTGTGTAGAAGAATTATCTGGATATTTTGCAAATTCCTGGCTTTTATTCTCCCTTCCCCAGGGCTGGTTCAGTCCAATTTAATAGTCACTAGCCACAGGTGACAGTAAAGCACTTGAAATATACTTGTCTCAGCTGATACATGCTGCAAGTATAAAATAGGAGACATCAAAGACTAGTATTAAAAAAATGAATGTAAAGTATCACATTAATATGTTTTTCAATTGATTACATATTGAAATGCTGTTTTACATGCATTGGATTAAATATAGTATTAAAATAATTTCACTCATTTCTTTTTAGTTTTTCTTTTTATTGTGACTACCAGGACATTTAAAATTACATATGTTAATCATGTTATATTTCTATTGGACAGTGCTGGTGGGGTCTAGGGGATGACTTGTTTTAACCAGCATCCCAAATGATTCTGATGCAAATCCTTAGACCACTCTTTGAAAAGCAATGGACTGTGATGGATATTTTAGCATACAGGGCTGGGAAGTTGAGAGCCTGGACTAATGGGTGCCAGAGAGGTTGAATAGAAGGGACACATTAGGGAAAGATATTTTGAAACAAGAGTTGATGGCTAATATGGAAGAATGAACTGGTAGTACAGATAAGCCCCAAATGCCAAGCCTGTAGTACAGGGTACAGGCTCTGGCAGGAAGAGCTGCCCAAACTCTCAGCTTGTTCTGTTTTTTATTTATCAGAACAACACTTAAGATTCTAAAAGCTTTGGAGGGACTTCTTCTCATTAACTTTTGGGACCTTGGTTTGGCATTGACCCCATATCTTATCAAAAACATGTACATTTATCTTTACAGAGTGTTTCTCTTTTTTAATATACCATTATTTAATTAGCATTTCCCTGATTTGGTGTATATGATGATTGCTTCTAATATTTCACTGATATAAAATAGGCCAAAGCAATTCCACTTCCGTGTATATACCCCAAAAAATTGAAAGCAGGGACTCAGAACAGATATTTGTATACTTATGTTCATAGCAGCATCATTCACAATAGCCAAAAGGTGGAAACAACCCAAACATCCATGGATGGATGAATGGATAAAAAAAAAAAAAAAATGTATGTACACACGATAGAATATTACTGGGCCTTAAAAAGGAACAAAATTCTGATACATGCTACAACATGGATGAATCTTAAAAACATTATGCTAAGTGAAATAAGCCAGGCACAAAAGGACAAATATTGTATCATTCTACTTACATAAGGTACCTAGAATAGTCAAATTTATGGAGACAGAAAGTAGAATAGTGGTTACCAGGAGCTGGTGGGAGTGGAAGAGGCAGGAATGGAGAGTGTTTGTTTAATGGGCGCAGGGTTTATGTTAGGGATAGTGGTGATGGCTACATAATAAGGTGAATATATGTAATGCCACTGAACTGTACACTTACAAATGGTTAAAATGGTAAATTTTATATATGTATATTTTGTCGAAATTTGAAAAAAAATATAAACTGATATGACTTCCTGATACATATAGACAATGTCCTGACATATAATACAGATTTCCCAGAATTTGGATTATGTCCTTGTTCTAGAATCTAGAAGGGGTCTTACTGGATTAAAGTTCATGGTATTTTCTGTCCTTTAATAAGTATCACCAAATTACTTTGTGAAAACAGTTGTGTATTTTTATAGTTCTTCTAAGGTACATGTAGAAGTACTGACCTCATCTACACCCTGACCCCCATCCCTGACTAAAGGAAAGAAAATAATTTTAATAATTCATAGTCCTAGTGAAGGTATAAACACTGAGCTTTAGGACACACATTCAGTGATAAGAAAAATGGGTGACTTGCTTTAATATGCATTTTTTCATTACTAGTGAGGTCTAAACTCTTTTGGTATTTTTTTTTTACTAGATGATTTTCCTATTTTGTGGCTTCTCTGGTTTCTGGAAGCATCTTAAAATTCATATATCACTTTGTTTAAGGCAATTTAGCAAAATACATACACAGCAACAGGGTGTTTTAAAAGTGAGGGAGATTGGACCAAACCAGAAATAATGGTAGGAAAATAAAATGAAGTCAGAGTAAGTTATTGCATATTAAATCTGACAAGAGGTGTGGCGAGAGGAAGGCAACACATGTGTCTATGAGTTTTCTGGAAAAGAGGGAAACAAGATCTATAGCTTCCTGAGCTAAGCCAACTGGTAGTAGTAACTAATGTAGTGACATGTTATTTTCAGTTACATGAGTTTACTTCACAATTCAATGAAATCTTTTTAATGTATATTGTTTAGGGGAAGTCTAGATAGAAGTATAAATTAATAATCTTTTTCTGAAGAAAATTCGAACAGCGTATAACCAAACTCATATTAATAAAAGAGATAACTAAAAGTGTGTCAGAAGCCTATATTTCATATTAGGGTGCTAAAAGCAGAAATACTTATAAAGTTGTCTAGAGCTTTGATCAAATGAAATTTTACAATGAAAGTGACTTAATTAATGACTTAGTTGAACAATCTTACAGATAATGAAACTGAGGTCCAGAGTGGCTGTATAATTAGTCTAAGATTCAATATCCATTAAATAGTGGAATTTTTAGTAGAGAATCTAGGGTTCCTGATTTAGTCTTTTAAATTATATCTATTTGAAAACATGCTGAAAAATGCTCTTCTTTAAAAGGTTATTTTGAAAAAAATTAATAGATTTTACGCTAAAGATTTTTACTCAATAATCTGTACACATAACTTGTCAAAAAAAAAACCGCAGTTACAAACTATAATGAATTTTGTGTAGATACACACATAGTTCTAACTGCCAGAAGA